ACTTCATTTAATGAGTTAAGGAATTATTTTCATGAGTTAAGGAATTATTTTGATAGATGGATAGAAAGTGAAACAGTGAAGAAGTATGATTCTTTTTAGAATCCTAGTTTCAGCGATCAAATGAAAAGACGTGTTTCTGCAGAAATATGTGACCATTTTGAAGATGAGCTATCAAAAATTATTTCTTCTTCAAAATTAGCATACATGCTCGGTAATCATGAAAATTCCAGAAGAATGCTGATAAAAGCTATGACTCAAAATAAGCAGTAAAATAAGCAGAGGAAAAAAATGGTGAAATAAAAAAGTTTTCTTAGCAAACATTTCATGGCAAAAATGAATGTTCAAAAACATATGATGCAAAAAAATTCAAAAGAAGCAGAATTCTTCGAGGTTTGATTATAGATCTTGCAACTATTTAAGATCACAATGCCAGATTTGAAAACGAATAATGTACTCTCAGCTGCAGTAAATATAACTGTGGAGAAATCAAACGCCGAATTACTATTCCCTTACACATCCATGGATCAAGTGATAAATTTAGTTACCATGCCACTTTTGAGGGAAACCGCTGTCTCTACTGACTTAATTTGTAAGAAATAACGGAGAGCGGAGCTTCCTAGTGGCTACCAAAGGTCAGCAAGTGTTATCTCCACCCTCCCATCAGTAGTTTATTATAAAACATAATTTTGACAAGGCCAGACAAGAACGAGGGTATATAAATGATGCACTACAAATGATTATCTGTAATGTACTTAATTATCTGTACTGTAAGTGCATAAATGACACATTATAGATTTTTATCTGAAATATATAATATATGTACCCTCTCCTTTATCTGGACATGTCAAAATTATTTTTGTTACAATAAACTCTTGATAGGAGGATGGAGAAAATTTCTGCTTTTTGTAGCCACCAGGAGTTCCCGCTCCTTTCACAATGTGGGAGGTACAATACTCCTTGGTTTCGTACAAAAGCTTTTACCAATAACCTAAGTTGATCTCATCACCAGTTTTGATGGAAGTACGACCAAGGAAACTGTTATTAGATCAAGGGCAATATCTTCTTGGAAATCGGATGGCTGAATTCATATTTCAGGGAAAGAATAATGACACTATACTGCAGTACTGCTATTAGAACTAGATAGCAAACAAGAAAACTTAAATCATAAGGCCAATATAAGAAAGTGAGTGCAGGAAGGCCTAAATTTATAAATTCAAAAGTGGAGCCCTATGGCAAGACATCAGAAAAGACAAGCAAATAATTAAATAGAATTCCAAATAATTAAAATTAAATAGAATTTAATTAGATAATAAATGTTAAGAAATTAAATTAAAGAAAGAAAAATTTTTAAAGAATAAAATAAAGTACCAGATCTCATTTTCTCTGGGCTCTGGTTGGAAGTTCTCATTTAGGACTCTGATTGAAGTTTCTGAGTTTTGCTTTAAAACTTGGAAATGAGAAGTCAATCTCCGGTAGGCTTCAACTTAATTTACGCCTTTAGTATACAGTAGAATATACTATTTCAAGAGACAATAGGACACAAAGGATTCTTTTTTGAACTAAAATACGAAAATACGTAAAACTGAACAGTTAAGCATCACTGATGAGAAGAGAGAGAAATCTAGAAACAGGAAAATATGGAAGAAAATTTTTAACGGTGAAACATGGGCTCCAAGGCTAACATAGGATAATGAAACACACTATGATCCCCTGCCCATACAACTACAGCTAGCAAGCAAAATTTGTGAAAAGACGGAAATGCTTTGAATCCGACATTTCTGCAATTTGAAAACATGCGTACGCTTCTGTGTAAGTGACCTATAAAATGTATTGTCAATTTGGATTAATTATTGAGCTTATAACAAATTTTATGGTATTTTTGGCAAAACCAAGATAACTTCATTAAAGCTAAAAAACTGGGACATTTTGATGCCATAAAAATTTGCGCACCTATAGAAGACTTGTCAGAATCGAATGAAGTTTTACATGTAAGCACACAGATGATATAAATAAATGATTACAAAATCAAAGCAAAAGGATAATTTATTAAAGGAAAAACTGTAAATGAACGGAGTCCCTAATTCTCTGTTAGACCACCTCCAGCAGGAATGCACGACACGATACGAGTGAGCATTGAGATATATAAATTCTATATGATGTTCTGCGTTCATATCATTCCACATTTGCTAACAGCTTATCTCCAGTTCGAGTAAACTTCTGTCAAACTTGTCGTCTAAAGTAATCGATGACAGGAGTGTAATGTAGCAGGCCTCCGCGTGTTGCACCATCTGCGAGTCCTGTCATAAGTGGCAACACATGCTGTAAAAGAATGACACGAATATACCGCTGGGCTACCATGGTGGCATGGATCAATATTAAAGGTGACCGTGTGTCGTATGCAACTGACCACATACCACTTCACTCTCCGTGGGAGTAGTGTGCCGCTGCGAAATAAGAGCAGGATTGAGGCATTCTCAAAGAAGTTCCACACACATACACCGTTCTCATTACCGCTATCATTGTTGTCATTGTTGTTACTATCTCAATTCTTCGCTGAAGACGACTTGATTTCATTCTGCTGTATCGAACGCGACACCATTCCAAACGGAAAGCGGATTTCCGTTAGATGCCAGTGTACCTAATGGGCGCTGTGATACAAAATGTCCTTCAGTCAGGCGTTTTGCGATGATACGTACGGACACAATGTCCCGTACTAAAAGCGCTACCTGTATCTGGATTGAAGACAATCACTACAATTAGCACTGTAAAAGAATGACACGTGTTGGGTGACGTGATGTTCTCAGTTCTCGCAAGCAGTTGGTCTGCACCTGGCCACTGTGGTCCATTGGTCCCAATACTTCTTAACAGTAAAATCAGAATGACCTAAGTGACAGGTTATTCACCGAGCTGACCATCGGGCTTCCATCTTCCCTATGATTCTTCTCCACTCGAACTATGACATCTCATTATTTTGTCTTCCATGGTGGTGTAATGGCATCCCTAATTAAAAGGCATCCCTCTGCAGCAGATTATATACAGGCAAAATGTCACTGCGTACTCTTTTTATGTTCCAGGGGGAAAGAAGTTCAACACCCTGTGATGGTGTTGCGCAACGTGCAATCATGCTGTACTTCTTATCATTTGCATACCAAGCTGAGATACGTCTCCATGCTATGTTTCGTTGAGATCCGAAAATTACTGCTTATGGCGCAAATGTTGAGGGGAAATAAGTGTATTTATTATGTATACTACCTACTACTGGTATTTAGAAATTTGATTTTCAGATAATATTTTTAGTGTGTTCATGATGACCTGTGTTGAAACCTCTAGGTTTTGAGAAGAAACACTACTTTCTGAACTCAAACCCCTGCTACCTTAAACCTTTGCAATAAATGATGCAGAAGTTTCCCTTATTTAATAATGCAATTTCGGCACAAATTCAAAATGTTCAAGCGGAAAACGACTGTAGCAGAGTAATTTCACTTTGGAGGGAAAGGGTGTTACGTTACATGACCAGCGCATTTATAATTCCTGTAGCCTACTTTTAACTTTGCAGTCTTCAGAAAACAGCATGCTATAGTACTGCAGAGATTTCCGTTTTCATAATATGATTTCCTCCCACTGTTTCGTTATGGAACGGAACCCAGTATGAACTAATATTTACTAATTTTTCCACCTCTATGAACTATACACGTGCTCGTTACTTTTATTTCCACTACTGACATAATTACATGCTCATCTGGAAAAAGCAAATGTTAAAAGAAAAGACTCTGCTTTGAAATTTTGTAAGAAATTCTGCGTTCTTAATTTTCTTACTAAAGGATTTAAAAGTAACGCCTCAGAAAATCTGGAAATAGAGCTAATTCGTCTATACTGCGATATAAATCTTATTCAAAGATTTGAAAATACAGATTTGATTAATATTTTGTTGTACTTGTCAAGAGTTATGACTGCAACAAAAACGTTATGACAGTCAGAAACTTTGACTGTAATACCCTAAGTTACAATTTTTTCTGATATTTTCTCAAACTTGCTAATAGTTAAATACCCTCAGTTACAAATTTTTCCATTAAGAATAATCTCTTTATTTGGAAGTACATTTATATGCGAACATTTTGTTTATGTTAAAAATTACTAAGTCTAAAAAAAGAACCAGATTAGCTGATGAGCTTCTACAATTCGTGATGAAGATACTCTCTAGTAATTTTCTCCAAGGTTATGGAATTTAGCAAAATCGAAATGAGATGAGGTGTTGTAATAGAGATGCTTACATTTATTTAGATGTATATGTATATTTTCTGTGTGAGTAAAAAAACAATTTAATAAATAAAAGAAAGAAAATAGGTTCTAATTATTTATCTTCGATTTTTTTTCCACTTGAAGAACTTTTGTAATTTGTTCATTTTAAGTTAAAACTACGTTATTCAGTGGTTTATTCGACGCTTTAGAATGATTTGAAATAAATGTTAGTCAATATATAATGTTTAGCTATGAATAAGCTTGAATTACATTACGATCAGAAATTTCTTACAGATTTCAACATTTAGATTTCAGACTGAAAACAAATACATATTGAAATTTCTTCCCTTTGTATCATTATTATTTCTGTTTATGTATGCTTTAATAAATACTTAGTAACTGAAATTTAAAATTTAGTTTTGTAAAAACATTTTCATTTTGGAAAAAAAAAAAAAAAATCAGCCCGTCAGCTGCTCTCAAATAGTTCATTCATTTTGCAGGCAATTTGAGGTTGAAGCCAGTGCTCTAGCTCATAGCATAAAACAACATCCAAAGAAAGTGATCTGTTTAATCCCCCAAAGATGTCTATAATTTTACAGAAGGCCTTTATGCATGATGCTGTCAGAATGTTAATGTCAGAGTGCTAACCAAATGGCGAACTGTAGCACTGTAGCCAATATACACCAATATACAACTAACAGCACAAAAGGTATATTGCTGAAAATAGGTTTTTAAATTAAAATCTGGTCTAAACAACTTACTTTTCCGGAGTGGTTCTTTCTTGTACTTGTGTAACCTCTTGACAGCGATGGCCTCCAGCCTCACTCGAGCAGCCGGATAGTCTTTGAGCACGTCCCACATGTCCTGCTTGTAGAGACAGAAGAGGTCCGAGTAGCCCAAGGAGCGGACAGAGGCGGTCCTCCGGTTGCCCGCCGTCCCCATATTCAGAACGCTGATCTCGCCGAAGTAGCTGCCCGCCCTCAGGGTGGCCAGCACAGTGCGACCGTTGTCGGCAACTACCTGCAGGCGGCCGCGGTTCACTATGTACATCTCCTTGCCCACTTCGCCTGAAATACGAAAGACAGGCATGGCACACAGAAATATTGGTTTAAAAGAAACGAATGGTGCTGAAGTTAGGACATACTTTCAAAAAAGATTGAAACTATAAATTCACAAATATTCTAACTGATTTGTTATCATTTGTCATAACTGAATATAATATCTAAAAGAAAAAAGTGAACGTAAAATCCATTATCATTGTTAAGCTTTTAAACAATGCGTCTGGTCTACATCAAATTGATGGTCTAGAAATTTATCAACTTGAAGAGCCCTCCACTGCTGTCTGTCTTTATTCCAGACCACAAACAGGTGAATCTTACTATCATTTGACAAAGATATATGGATATTATCTGAAACAGTCAGTCAAAAGTTTATTCATAGCTGGAGAAAGGCAAAAGATAATCAATACAGAAATCGTAATCAAGTTAAAGAAATATTTCAGTGATAAAGACATTCATTTTCAATGCATTCCATCCCATGCAAATCTCAGGGACAATACGCAGATAAACTGGCAGAAGAAGGGATATGGGAGATCCAATGATCCCTTTTTGTTCATTTACTTCTGAAGTTCTTAACAGTTGCCATCTTCTTATTGTTTGGTACCGCAAAAACAAACTTAGAGCCGCAATCACAAAATGGGTGACTAAAAATCGATAAACAGCTCTTTCTAAACTTATCACCGCTCATTTCCCGTCTTTTCTTTCACCGAAGAGGAAAGCGTATTCTCAACCTGCCATTCAATATGACTCTAATTTTGGATTTTTTGAAAATGTAGGAAATAATGGACTTAGTCTAGGTTCGAATACTAGATATCAGAGGCAAAGAAACAGTTATAAGTTTCGAGAACAAACACCGCACAGGTGACGTGAACGAATTGAAAATCTGCAAACTCTGATAGAGCATGTCATTAGCTGCTGCTTTCTACAGAAGTGGTGAGCTCTTTAAGCTGACAGATGCCTTATATTTGATAATTAAAACATATCGAGTTGAAAGAACTAACTGAGATAAGATATTTGATCAGAAGTTCGAAAATTTGACCAGAAGTTCGAAAACATTTTGTTTTTAATCATGTTCCAATACTCAGTGAAATCCTTTGAATGCAAAACGTTTTACCAGAGCCAATGTATAACAGTGAAGCATTTAAATTAATAAAAAAGCAGATTTAAAAAATAAATTCATATAGACTTCTAAAATCTATTAAGAAATTACTAAAATTTTAAAATTATATAAATATTAGAGAAAAATACTAATCAATAAAATAATAAAACTGCAGAAAAATTTCTTATAAACAAAATCCCAAAATTTCGCAAGCGACAAAATTGCAAGCGTAAGTTAGTGCTAAAAATGAAGGGGAAAAAAGAAAGAAAATAATCCATAAAAATTTTTAATTTTATCTCTCAAAAATTATTTGACAAAAACTACCTCATTTTATTAATAGTGTTACATAAATTGTTAGACAATGTCTTCATAGGCTTTCCAGAAGCAAACTCTGCAGAAGCATTAATTCTAAATCACGTAACTGTTTATAGTATATATTGATTCCCGATATAACAAAAGGTCCAATACAATTGTGGGCGAGGTACACAGTTGAATTCTCACCTCATCCATAACCAATGCTCTAATATGTTGCATTCTGGTACAGATGCGATGTAATTTGTCAAATATTTTATATCTATAATAATAGTTTACGTCAGGTATAATTTATTTGAACATCATGTCTTTCCCTTATTCGTACAACATACTGCTTTAGAAGTGTTTCGTTATGAAATATTGTATTTGCCCAAGTATTGCTAAAAATAGTGCAAAGAAATTACAAATCTCGACAAAAATAACTCCTATTAAGTATGTTTATGAGATAGCAATAGAGCAATAGAGCTCTAAGTTTAGCAATAGAGACAGCAAACATTGTGTAAATTTTTGTGAATGTTTGTCTTTATTTTTTTATAATTTAACTTTTTATGTAATTGTGTACTGCTGTGTATTGGTTTTACTAGTTTACTTAATGCATTTCTATAATGTTTACGTTTATGTATAAAGCATTTTGTTTCATTTGGACACCTTAAGATTGTTCCCCAACGTGATGATATTTTGGTAGTTCTCGAATATCATTTTTTTTTCCTCGAAGCTCCTAGAAGTGCTTATTCTCCAGCTGTAATGGAAGTGAACAACTGTTATAGTTATGGCTAAATAGTTCAACAGTCCAGTTACGCGATTCTGGATATTTCTGATATATTTCTCGCCTGTTAATAAGAATTTTGTCTCAGCCTTACTTTCTCTTCTCAGGAAATTTATAGCTTAGAATTTTATAGTTTATAGACATCTTTTCTCTTAGGCAGATCATTTTTCTACATTTTGCCATAATTTAAATAATTTAATCTCATTCATCATAGTAATGATTTTTAAGTACCTAAATTTAGTAGTGAACTACGCAAATTAAAATTTTATTTGTACTAAAAGAGTTTGAAAGAGAATAAAATGAAAGCATGAAAGAGTTTTACAAATTATTAAAAAGACTTATAACACCATCATAAAAATGAATTATCCCCGCAATCTGAGAAATTTTTTTCCTAAAATCACTTAATTGCCATTGTGGGTGATAGTAATTTAAAAGAAAATAACTGAAATAGAAAGCTATGACTATTTAATGAGTGCAATGAGTTTGCTTTTTGTACTTTAATTTATAATTATCTTATTGCTTTTTATATTTTAATTTATAATTATCTAATTGCTTTTTGTATTTAAATTTATAATTATATATATTTTAATTTATATTATAATTATCTTCTTGCTTTTTATATTTTAATTTATAATATCTTATTGCTTTTCATATTTTAATTTATAATTATATCATTTTATAATTATATTTTTATTCCATAACATTTTGTTATTCTTTCGTTTATTTTTTGTTAGTGTGTAGAAATGTGTAAACACTCACACATTTTAAAATTGTAGCCCTTATTTTTATTGCTCATTTTTTCATTTTTACTGCGTAGTGTAAGTTTTTATGCTCTAAATGTTATAATCACAGATCAACAAATTTTTTGGTATTAAGATGGATACTATTTTGTATTAAATTAAAGGACTTAATAAAAAGTTAAAGAGATATTTTTAAAAATCATTTTGCACAAAATGTATTCAGAAATAACATTCTTGACGAAACCGATGCCCACCAAAATATTCTCCATTTTAACTTTCTATGAAGAAAATCTAGCCTGACTATGGATTATCAAGAAAAATATATTATCTCAAATGGCTCCGCTCAAATTAGCTCGGTTAAAAGGGCACTTATTACTTACTATCAACATAAGGAAAACTACGAGCATTCTATGCAACCAGCTTCATTCAGAAACGATGAACTGACTCTCGGACGACTTGACAACAAGTCCATACTATTCCACATTTGTGCCTTTTAGAAATAACAAATGCATCTTGGTGTCCCAAGACTTCAAAATATCCACCATTCCAGAATTTACAAAAAAGCAACTGTTAAGTTTTATTAAAATTTTGATGAACATGAAAATGCACTTATAAGTTTACACAGACGTAGCTAATAGAAAGCATCCACATAATTCTAAAATTTTATTGCTGTAAAAATCAATGATTCAATGTTCCACAAGTTTCTCTTTAAGGTTCTGTCTTCAATGCACAGCGACACTTTAAGATTGCCTATTTCTACGTAGAAGAATGCATTATCATTGCCACAACGTTTTAAATATAAATGAAACATGTAGCTATATTAAATGAAGTAAGAAAAAAGAGAAGAATTTGAACCGTCTGGTACTTCCAAAAAAAAAAAAAATCTGAAAGTTTTCAGTCTTTATATTATGTCCAAAGGGGCGCTATTTCATTCACATACATATACATGTTTCGAAAACCTTTGGATTAATATCACTTTGCGTTAAAAATATTTGCAAACAGCATATCTTTAGAATTTCCGGTAGACGGTCTCGCGCGCCGGAGATATAATCAAAAGAGGCAATTTGCCCTGAAGAACTATTAATTTCGTTTTGGCATTTTGCCTCGAAGACTATAAACGGCGAATCACCTTTTAAACTGTTGCCACCAAATATTATAACCTTGTATTATATTTGAAGAAATTAAATAATGAAGAATCTGCATGAATGTATGTATGTTTCGTATTGTGATAAAACAACGGTACCGAGAGCCATCAAAATTTGAATAACGTAATCTTCCATAGAATAGGGTCATGTAGAAGCTCTAATTTGAATTTGAAATTACTTTTACAATCAGTTTCATATTTTGTAGCCCTTCACCGAATTTTTGATTAAAAAAACTAAAAGATTTCAAAGCGAGCAATGACAACACTGTACGAAAAAAAAATATTTTTATCTCCAGCACACGAGACTTTGAATCGGAACTTCTAAAGATTTGCTCATTTTAAAATTATTTTGAGATATTGCTGTTGAACTGAATTTTATGGTTTGAGTACGTAGAATATGATATTTAGTTAATAAAAGTAACACACAAAACGTTAAAAATCGTCTCTTTGGACATACTTTAAAATCTGAAACCTTTCACATTTTTTTTTTCGTACAGTGTTGCAACTGCTCTCTTTGAAATCGCTGAATGTGTTAATCAAAAGTTTTTTTTTTTTTTAATTTTACAAAATATGAAAAAGTAATAAAACAAATTCGAAATTCCGAATTTGGGTTTCCAGGTGTCCACAATCGGCCGGAGGACAACATTATTCAGAATTTGATGGGCTCTATGTATCGTTGTTTTTTAGAATGCGAGAAACATGCCTACATTTATGCAGATTCTTCATCATTTAATTTCTTTAAATATAATACACGGCAATAATATTTGGTGGCGACAATTTGAATAGTGAAACGGATTTTTATATTGAACCGATGCAAAATGTCGTTTCCAGACTAATAGCACTTGGGGGTTAACGCCCGTTTGGGCTAAAAAGGCATATGGTCTGAGAGCACATGAACAGCGAAAGGGTATTATTATTATTATTATTATTTATTACCTTTCCTGCAGATGTAATCACCGGGACTGAAGAGGACGGGTCTGAGTCTGAGGACGAGTTCGCAGAGGAATCCCGCCTCCGTGTTCTGGAAGATTTCGACCCTCTTCAGGGTATCGAGATGGACGTGGATGGCGATCTCGGCCTTCAGTTTGTCCGGCAGGCAGCCGACGGACCGCTCCTCGTCCGAGCATTTCTGAGTCACCCACAGATAATCGAACCAACGGATCACCTTATTCTGAAGGTGGTCAGGCACTCTTCGCATCCTCATGTATGTCTTCACGGCATCCAGACGGGCTGCAGGAGAGACGTCAGAGTCACTATTAATCCAACACTACGCAAACAAACAGTAACTGCCGAAAAAAGTTAATTTACAGTCTGAAAACTTCAGATCATAGTCTAATATCTCTAAAATGAGATTACTATTAAAATTTTAAAAATTTAAAGACATAAAATATTACAAAATATGAAATAAATATCGCAAGTACTTCTTTTCTTGTGTTAGCTAAAAATAATATCTAATTCAATCAATTTACTGCAGCACCTTCGCTCACAAAAAGTGAAATGGATATCTTGGCCTTTAAACTCGAAGAATGCTTTTAGCTTTAACGTTCTATTTGTCATTCTTCATGCCTCAGAGGGTCCATGATCGGGACTCACACTAGCATAGCATTAATTAATAGCTTTTGCTGGTGTCAGTATTCTGACGGTAAGCAATAAGATAAAAAATTACAACAGATAATTTTTTCTCTCTAGGGAATATAGATGGCTTCATAAGACAAAATAAAGAAAATTGCATGACCCCATCGCTTACGCATTAAATGAAACTTATCTTCATTAAGTAAATTCACACTTTTGCTCAAAATGAATTTTGGTTTTGAAAACTCCATCATTTATCTTTGCATATTTCTTTGAAACTAAAATGGCGTAAACAAACAAATATCAAAATTTTAGGAAACGATACTACCGTTTGAAAATTAAAAAGAAAAGAACTGTATAAAGATATTTTTAAACTGCACATTATTAAAACATTTCATCACCATCCATTTTACTTCGCATGCAATGAAGCAGAATCAGAAAATTCCCACTGGATGTGTCTATAGGCTGATAAAAAAGTATTTCATTCATCACTTTGCATTTTATTTATCCCATTTTACTTCGTATGCAGATAGTGCACTAAAGTAAAATAAAAAAAAAAAAAAATTCAAGTGATGTATTATAGGCTACTAAAAATGTATTTTATTTATTACGTTTATAATATAAAATAAGATTTGCTAAAAAATAGCTTTTTAAATGACTTTAAACAAAATAATGACAATAAAATAGTATTTCGAATGACACAGTTTCTTACACTGACTAGCAGCAGAGCTCTTTTTAATACTAAAGAGAGAACAAATTTAAGCATCGCCAACTGTTTCGTGTTTCTGATCTTTACTTTCAATCAAAAAGATCTTATCATTAAATGAAAACAATGATAGTTTGAAATTTTTTACTCAATAATTTTGTAATTTGAGTGCCCCATGAAGCCATTCCTACCCTTAGCCAAATAAATCTCAAGTGCTTTGCCATAGTCATATAAACCAAACCAACCATACCATTATATATCCCTTTTTTTGTAACCCATGGTAAAGGAAGACTTGAAAATTGCATATTAAACTGTTCTTATAAGCACTTACGAATATTGTGTTATTAAAATGTATAACTCAATAATCAAAACCTCTGTCAAATGCAACGAATGTTGTAAGGATCTTAAGTTTTACTAACGTTTATTTTATTTTAAATCTTTACTATCACTTCTTATTTTCTACTTCCGGCCAGAATTATAAGCGTTAAGGTTTTTATGCAAAGTTTGTCTGGCGAACGCCAAGTATTTAAGTTGTGGCTTTTTGCCAAGCGAGAGAGAGGAAGCAGTGAATCGAAGCAAGCCGCTTACCTTAGAAGTTACACAGTTGCTTGTTGCCTTCCAGGCCAGAGGTTTTAATCCTCTTGATAAATTTTAAACGTATTGTAGTGTTCACAGTTCTCTGTACTACATACGCTTCCTGTTAATATAAGGCCAATCTTCCACGTTTATTATTCTAAAGTTAAATTAGAGTTTAGTTTTATTTTTATACTTTTACGTTTTGACCCCAAGTAGCGGGTCGGTGTATTCCGAAGTATTCTATTTCTTTTTAAAATAAATTTCAAGAACATTTCCAGAAAATTCCAGTGAAATAAAAATTAAATAAATTTAATTCTATTTAAATAAATTTCTATTCTATTTATTTTTAAAATAAATTTCAAGAACATTTCCAGAAAATTTCTCAATTTCAAAATCTTAATACAGCATGGTAAAGTATTTAAAGTATATGCACATATGTCGGCTACCCATAATTAAAATTCCTAATTAAATAAACACGGCTTTTGCAGTCTTGTAAATTCTAAATTTCCGAAAACGCATGAGACTTTTTTAGTTCGCAACGAAATGACCTGCCAAAATAAAAAATAAAAAAATCATGAAAGTACAATTGCATTTGTAAGAATGAAAAATGTCTTATAAAAGCATTGAAAAAACAATGTGAGTGTTTGTTTTTGATAAATAAACAAAATAATGATAAAAAGAAATAAAAATCTGGAAACTTTCAGATTTTGTATTACACCCGAAGAGGCTTTTTTTATTTATATACAAATTTCGATTTTTATTTATATACACATTTACATACATTTCGAGAGCATTTAGGTTGAAAATATTAAAAGAAAGTAATAGTAATTAAAAGAAAGTACTAATAGAGTTCCTTTAGGCTAAAAATATTAAAAGAAAGCCTATTACAATTTCCGTAGACAGTTTCACACGCTGCAGAATATTTTTTCCCCTGTACAGTGTTGCCATTGCTTCTCGCTTTGAAATCGTTGAGTTTATTAATCAAAAATTCGTTAAAGTTTTACAGAATTTGAAATACACAATAAAATATTTAAAAACAGTACATCTTTAGAATTTTCGATAGACAGTTTAGCGCTGGAGATAAAAATGCTTTTCCTGTACAGTGTTTCCTGTACAGTGTGATGTTGTCATTGCTCACTATGAAATCATTAAGGTTTCCCGTTTTGAGATTAATAGACCTTCTGGGCTAACGCTCCTTTGAGCTAAAATTATTTAGTATCAGTCAAATTGTATTTAATACGAAGAAGATTAATAATAAATACCAAATTAAATTTGTCTATCACAAGAAGTATTTGCCTATTATTAACACATAAATAAATAAGCTTGTAGCAAAGCAATTAGAAATTCCTATATAAAATGAAACCAGGTTTTCATTTACTAATTGATTTATCTTCTAAAATGAACTTGAACCGCGAAATATTCTCCAGATGCATTCATCCTTTCGCGAAGTACTTTTTAGAAAATAAGTCGGCAGTTTCAGTTATCGAATTTTGAATAAAATCAGATTGAATTTAATTGCATTTAATGCTTCCAATAACCATCTCAAGAAATAAAAGATCACATTTCTTTCCTCGAAAAATAAAGAGAGCTGATAATCCTAAAATTCTAAAACCAAAACTCTGCCATAGTTATATCTTTCACTAAAAAAAAATATAATAATCAAGGACAAATACATATACATTACATTACTCACGGCAGGCGAAAATTTCCGGATAACGAGAACACAATCCTCATTTACAAAACAGACGCTTCGAATTAAAATACATCAAGAAGGTAACGCTCTCACTGTCCGTGATTTACTTTTTTTCTTTCAGAGACAAGTCTGGGGACAATCTTTTTCCACTTTCGATTTATTACATTTTATATGGATTTCGAAGAATCCAGAAAATTCACGGAGAGTCGAGCATTTCTACCGAATATTTTCCGAGCTCTTCAATATGAGAAACGGGGCAAATTGAAAAGGTATATTATTATTCTCTGGCTCCGTTTTCTTCAGAAGGCTGGAGATGAAAGCTGACATAAAAATATTATAACAGAATAAATTATATGGAAGAAGAAAAGAACTCTGTACTGCCGAGGCTTTCCCATCAGAGATAGCCAGGCCATACACTACAAGACCATCGATTTTCTTTTATTGTGATCCACAGAGGACATGAAATCAGAAAAGAACTATTACGTCTCTTACTTAAAGAGACGTTACTTAGGAAGTTTCCGGAATAGAACATTCATGGGTACCAAACGTGTTTAACATTATCTCAAAGTTTTTACATCGGCTGTTAGATACTGGAGATGAACTATCTGAATCCTAAAACAGCCCAAAACTTGAAAAATATTCGAAATTCGAAAATTCAAATTTTCGCGCAGTTTTCATCATTGATTTTTCAGAATCCTAATTTAAAAAAAAAAAAAAAAAAAAAAATTAAACTTTTTAATTCCCACCTTTGAAGAGACTACAAGAAACCCTCATGTCGACCACATGACTTCCTTGTATGGCCTATTAAATTATGCACATTTTTTGCTGCATCTCATTTAAAAATTACTTCCTCGAATTTCATTAGAAATCTAATACTCATTCAATTAATTTTGTTCTCACTTCGCGGCAAAGCAAAAATATATAAAAACTCAATACATCTTCATTAAAAACTGTAAAATACAGAAAAACCTAAAAACCTTAAACAGTTTAAAAAAAACAATTTTTATAGTTAAAATTAAAGTTTCTGTGCCAAAACAAGCAGCGGTTATAGGAAGACGAAAATGTCCGTGCACAAAATGTTACCTTTCCGTCACACTGGGCAAAAACGCACGGAAGCTGGTGCACCAACTGACTTAATTCACTTTTCTACTAAGAGTTTCAAATGTAAACACATGGCTGCTTCGTTTGGATTAACGCCACTTTTAAATTGTTGATATTTCTACAACTATTGCATGCAAATTAACTAAAGGCATAAGACCCTTAACCGGAACGTAATTAAACCACTTTTAAAGCAAAAAATGCATAATTTACCAAAATATAAGAATAAAAATACTGAACTCACCGAGCCGTGTAATAGAATTGGAATAATATATATATATGTAAGATAAAAATATGAAAGAAAACTTACAAATTTAATTGCCTATAACCTCCTTTATTTTTTATTTAATTTGGGGACTTTATCTCGCGTTCTTAGAAATAGTGCCATAAATCTAAACTGCATCATTCAAATTCATCATGCGATGTTACTTAATGCTTAATGCAGATGCCTCTTGGCCAATTACTGAATTGTAAAGCTAACTTAAAACTGAAACCTTTGCCTCCTTCCCTTCTTCCTTTGCATTACTACTGCGACACTCTCTCTCTTTTCGCTTGTACTTTCCTTGTGGCCAGAGGCTTTGCTGC